AATTTCGGAACGTCCATCTTTGTTGGCACTACCAGCACCAACTACCAATGGAGCAAAATCGAAATTTATACCATAACTCCCTCGATTTTCAAATGTTCCATTCCCACTGCCCAGAAATGTAACAAGGTTTTTAGTACCATAATTAGCCACTGCTATATCCACTTGACCGTCTTTATTGAAATCATGAATAGCCATTGAGTAAGGATGAGAATTTAAGCCTGTTGAAAACATCATTTGGTTTCCAAAAGTGCCAGTCCCATGTCCAAGAAGAATACCTATGTTATTAGTACCATAGTTGGCAACGGCGATATCTAGCAGGCTATCATTATTGAAATCGAAAACGGCAAGGTCTCGCAAACGAGAACCATTGGTAGATGCAAATGTGATTTTGTCTTTCAGAGCTCCTCTGTCATACCGAAGTAGTACACTTACATTGTTGTCATTGAAATTAGTAACGACGATATCCGGTCGGCTGTCGTTATTAAAATCACCAACAGCTAGAGACTGTGGCCCAGAACCAGTTGAATATATCATTTGATTTGCAAAAGAGCCATTTCCATGTCCTAGAAGGATACTTACAGTGTTGTCACCAAAATTGGCAATGACGATATCCAGATGAGTGTCGTTGTTAAAATCACTTACAGCTACAGGTATTGGATAAGACCCACTTGAATATGTCGTTTGGTTTGCAAAAGAACCATTTCCATATCCGAGAAATACACTTACAGTGTTGTCATCCGCATTAGCAACAACGATATCCAATAGAGCGTCGTTGTTAAAATCACCAACAGCTAAAGAGTTGGGGTGAGAGCCAGATAAATATTTCATTTGATTTGCAAAAGAGCCATTGCCATGTCCGAGAAGCACACTTACAGTGTTATCACCATCATTAGCGACGACGATATCCAGATGGACGTCATTATTAAAATTACCAACAGCTACAGATTGTGGCCACTTGCCAGTTGAATATGTTGTTTGATTTGCAAAAGAGCCATTGCCATATCCTAGAAGGATACTTACAGTGTTGTCATCATAATTAGCAACGACGATATCCAGTAAGATGTCGTTATTAAAATCACCAACAGCTACGGAGTATGGTGCAGAGCCAGTTGAATATGTCGTTTGATTTGCAAAAGAGCCATTGCCATATCCGAGAAGTACACTTACAGTATTCTCATCCTTATTAGCTACGACAATATCCAGTCGGATGTCGTTGTTAAAATCACCAACAGCTACAAATAGTGGACGAACGCCGGTTGAATATTTCGTTTCATTTGCAAAAGAGCCATCGCCATATCCAAGAAGTACACTTATATTGTTGCCAAAACTATTAGCAACAACGATATCCAGTCGAGTGTCCTTGTTAAAATCAC